AAGCGTCTGAGTGTGACTATTGGTTTCTCTTTGTCTATGTGGCTACATTCAGGACCTTGCATGCTATATGATAACTACCTAAGATGGCAGCTTTCTGAAGTGAGAGGTATAGTTTCTGCGGTAGATTTAGTTTCTCAATATTTTATGTAGATTCTTAGGTATTTCTCCTGTGGCTCCGATCACTATTGGGATGACATCAACTTTTTCTTGATATTCAACATAGTTGTCAGGGTCGTAGCGACAGACAGAACCATAGCGGACTTAATGCGTCCCCTTGGAATATTCCCCTTTCTATTTTAATGGTGCCTGCATCTACACTTTTTTGATTGGTGTTTAAAACAATTCTGGTTTTCCACTGAGACATAGCGTAGTTCAGTAAATTCAGTACATGGGGCTCGATTATAAAGCTGTAACACCTCGGTTAGCCAGGAATGAGGCTGGGTATCAAACGCTTTTTGGTAGTCTATATACGCTGTGTGCAAAGAGCCTTTTGAGCGTTTCGCGTGAGATGTGATGACCGTATCTATTATCAATTGTTCTTTACACCCTCTGGATCCTTTTCGGCAACCCTTCTGCTCTTCGTCCAACAGGTTATTTCTTTCCAGGTGGCTGTATATCTTTTCCGATATGATGGACGTGAATTTTTATATATTGTAGGAAGGCAGGTGATCGGCCTATATTTGGAAGGATCTTTTGAGGACACCTTCGTTTTTGGTAACAAATAAGTGATACCACTGGTCATGAATGGTGGTAGTTCTTCAGGGTTGGACAGCAGGTGAGTATAACATTTGGCTAGATGTTGATGACTGACCTTGAATTGTTTATACCAAAAATTTTGTATTTATCCTGTCCAGGTGCCTTCCAATTCGAGGTCTTGTTTATAGCCTTGGTTACTTGGTCGGTTGTTACTTCCCATTCCAACATAGTCTGGAGGCTAGATGTAGACCTCTTCTCATCAAACAGCCATCTGGTATTGTTGTGAATCACAGGGTTCCCCCAGATTGATTCCCAAAACGTTTTCGTGGCCTCTGGTGTGGGGACCTTATTTTCTTTCAGGGTTTGAGGCTCGTGATCTTCTGACTCTAAATTTTTATAAAAGCTCCTTTCACTCCTGCTAAACTGACTATTGTGTTGACGTCTTGTGTTACTTTCCTTATACCGTCGGAGCTTTTTAGCCATAGCCTTGAGCTTTTGCTTAAGGTGATCCAGTATTTCTGTTGCTGTTGGGTTTTCGAGTCTTTGCTCCCTTCCAAGAATGGCCTTGGCTTTCTTAGTGACTGAGCTGCTGGGGTTCAAGCTTTGATTTTGTGTCAGAATTCCTATGTCCCGCCTGATACTATCGATTTTATTAGTAATTCGGCGCTGCCATGCTGGCGTGACTGAGACATTTTTAATTTGTGTGTCCGTGGAGATTTTCTGCTTGTTTAGTGTTAGCACCGTTGCTGCTCCACTATAAATAAGGCTGTGTAGATTTTCGATGGGTATATCAGTTGTTATTTTGGAATCCAGAATTTTGTTGATTTCACTCAATATAGGTTTAGTCTTGTTATTATAAATTAGTTTGGAAAGTCTAGGTTCCATCATAGGGTCCACTCCATCATAAAGCAAATGAATCCTTTCGAATTCCAGCTCAGAAGCAGCGGGTGGCCTGTTGGCCTCCGGTACTGGGGCCACTGGTTCATCGTCAGCATTGCGGAGATCAGCAGGTAAATTTATAGATAGTTCTGACGCAACTTCACGCTTTATTTGTGTAATAATATTTGGTGGTAGGCGTCTATTTATAAATATAGATCTTCGCTGGTCTTATGACGAAGCATTGGAAATTTTTCAGTTACCAATCTATTTAGTTCTCGGCTGTATGGAGTTTTGGCGGTTTCTAGTCGGGTTAATCTGTAATAGCGGTTTCTAGTCGGGTTAATCTGTAATAGCAGCGAACCATGAATGCATTGATTTCTTCTGTCCACATTGTTCTTTGCCTAACTGTGCCTTGTGACGTGGTGGGCATGGGCTCTGATGGCCCAGCAACACCGACATCTTGGCTTGGTACGATTGGTGGTGGTGTGTACTCGACTGGGTTGGTAATCTGGTTGGTCCTTGTTCACTGCCGCGGTAGGTTGCAGGTAAATCTTCAAGACGGTTCCGACCCGGCTCCTACTGCGCCGGCCCGCCTGAGTATCTCTTATTTCTTGTTTTAAGAGCATTCAAATATACACGTTCTAGGGGTGCTAACCCATAGAGCGGTGGTGCTAGTTTTTGTCCACCCCGGGTATTTTATTTCCCCGGTACTCTCCATATCTGGAGAGCGTTTCCCAATTCGCACAGGGAGGCGCCCATGGGAGACTAGCAACTCCACACGGGTTTATTATTATTATTATTATTATAATTATTATTATTATTATATTATTATTTTATTATTATTATATTATTATTATTATTATTATTATAACTATTATTATTATAATTTAATTATTATTTTTTTTGATCAACTTCTTATTATTATAATTGTTATTATTATTATTATTATTATTTTTTTTTTTTTAACCCACAGTGGCATCGACAGCTATGGTCATTAGCCACTTCCCTCCTGCCTCATGAGGTCATTAAGTTGAACCTAGCATCTCAGGGATAGATCTGAGAGTTGGATAATATATAGAACGCACACAATCACATACAGTATAAATAATTCATTGCATCATCCCATTTACTTAATTCAAGTATGGAGGTAAAACTGAGTGTTTACCATAGGTAAATTACTACAGCATTGAGTTTGTCCTGTTCCTAGTAAAATATTTGGTGTGCCAGACAGAATTCAGGTAAGTTGTGTTAACAATGCATTCTTATATAGGATTCATTGTTTTCTTGATACACATATACCCACATATACATATTTTTCGAGATATTTATGTTGGAGCTAATATTTTAAGATTTTTATAGAAGATTTTTTGTTTAGATTTTGTGTAGCATATTTGTCGATTTCATGAAGTTCAGTAAGTTGTTTATGTTTCTGTGTTTGAAAAGCATTCTTTCAGGTTTCTTGGTATAAAACATTCTAGGCGCTTAGAGTTAAATTTTGGACATTCCAGGATGATGTGTTCTACGGTAAGAGTGCAGTGGCATTCATCGCATAGTATTGGGCTTCGCCCTAGGAGAAGATGTGATGAAGTTAGGTGAGTATGTCCAATCTTTATTCTTGTAAGACAACTTGTTCTCGTCTAGTTAGGCCTGTCGGATATTTCCATTTCTCGATTGTAGGTTGTAGTATCCTCAAACGACTTATACTTTGGCTCCACTGATTTTGCCAACGTTGATGTATCTGGAGCTTGAAATGGGCTTTTAGGTCTTCAGGAAGTACGGTGCTGACGGGGGTTCCATTTTGGGTCGCGTCACGAGCTGCTGCATCTGCTAGTTCGTTGCCAGGAATATTTACATGCCCTGGAGTCCAAATAAATACGACTGTGTTCGAATTATGCGTTAGTTTATGGCACCGATTAATCACCTGCTGGACGAGGGGATTCTTAGCTTGTTGATTTCGTATAGATTGAAGGGCGGTCATTGAATCTGTACATATGAGGTATGTACTACACCGGGTTGTTTTGTCAAGCAAGTATTTAAGAGCTGCCGAGATGGCATACAATTCGGCTGTATACGGAAGTAATAGGATTTAGACTATACTTAAAGGTTTCTGTTAGGGTGGTGAAAGCTGATCCTACGCCACTTTCATTTTTCGCTCCGTCTGTGTAGATGACTTCAGGTGTATTATATCTACTTATTATTTCATTGAATTTTTAGATAAACATATCCCGATGTTATGTTTTTTGGATAAATAGCGCAGTCTAGTACAATATTCGTCCTGGTGTCGATCCATGGTGGAGTTTCACTTGGTTTCTTAGTGTATATGTCAGGGATAACAGCGCCAAGGTCGTTTATAATCTCTGATAGTCTGACTCCGAATGGTCTTGTAATAGTAGGTCGGTTGTCGTATTCTTCACTGCTATCATTGTTGAAAATGATATCGTGGTTTGGGTGAGAGGGTTGAGCCCATATGTTAATTCCATAGTTAAGCATTAACTGCGATATGCGTAAATCAAGGTGGAGTATTCGCATCGCAATATATCGAGCTGGATGGACTAGTGCGAAACGCACCTAAGCACAGTCTTAATCCTTCACGATGGATGACTTCTAGGGTACGTATATGCGATCTTCTGGCAGCGGCAAAAGCTACAATACCATATTCCATTTTTGACATTACCAGCGATTTGTATAGCGTCAGTAGGACATCTCTGTCCGCGCCCCATTTTATGCTGGAGACGCATTTTATTACGTTAAGGGCTTTCTTGCATCTAACAGCTAATGACTCGATTTGTGGTTTCCACGTAAGTTTACGATCAAAGATTACTCCTAGGATCCGGTGAGTTTCTTTGACTTGGATTAAGTTTCCTTCCAAGGTTAATGCAGGTTCCCTATGTGCTGTTCTTAGCCGACAAAAATGGATTACTGTAGTTTTTGATCTAGAAAAGTTAAGACCATTTCTTTTAGCAGTTTCAACCAGGTTGTCGATGGTCTCTTGAAGTTTACTTTCCATCGTGACCATTTCTTTTGCCGAGTAATATATCGTTAAATCATCCACATACATACATTTTCCAATGGATTCATCGATGCACTGGAGTAAGTTGTTGGCAATTATTACAAACAAGATTACGCTGAGGGTGGAGCCCTGAGGTATTCCGTTTTCTTGGAGGTACGTATGAGATACTTTGTCCCCCAGCCTTACCTTGAACGACCGGCTTGCAAGGAAGCTTGCAATGAATGTGGGCAGCCGTCCCCGAATTCCCCATTGATGGAGAGTTGATAGGACTCCATATCCCCAGGCGGTATCGTATGCCTTTTCTAGGTCAAAAGAGATAGCAATCAGATGGCTCCTGTTGGCAAAACTGTTCTGTATGGCTGTTTCCAAGTGGATAAGGTGGTCTACGGATGATCTGTGCTGCCTGAAACCTGTCTGAGAATTTATTAGCAGGTTTCGTGTCTCCAGTAACCACATTAATCTTCGACTTATCATTTTTTCTAGGATTTGCTCAGACAACAGGTCAGGGATATTGGTCTGTAGCTCTCAGGCTTTGTTGAATCTTTGTCTGCTTTAGGAATAGGTATCACTATTGATTCTCTCCACTGATCTGGGTAAGTACCAGTTTGCCATATTTTATTAAACATTTCTAATATTGCTTGTTTTTCTGTTACAGGTAGGTTGCGTATCATGCAATAGTGGACGGAGTCCGGGCCAGCGGAAGAGTCGTTAGTCTCTTGAAGAGCATTTTCGAATTCGGTAAGAGTGAAATTGTTGTTATATTCCGATATGTTAGATTCACTAAAGTCAAGTGCATTGCTTTCAATTTCTAGCTTCCTTTGATAGGCCCCAAGGCTTAGGTTGTCATTGGAACATATCTCTTCAAAGTGCATGCCTAGCGTGTTGGCTATCTCTGTAGCGCCCGTAACTTCTCTTCCTCCTACTCGTAACACTGGGGAAGGTGTGGCGAAGTGTTTGCCGGATATGGTTCTGATTTTCTTCCATACATCTGAGCTTGGGGTCTCTGAAGTGATGTCAGATACATATTTTTGCCAAGAATTTCTTTGGCCTGCTAACATCAATCTCCGTGCTCTAGCTCTGGCTTGTTTGAATTTCATCATATTTGCCAGAGTTGGGTTTCTTTTGAAGACATTGTAGTTATGCTTTTTGCCTTTAATGGCTTCTTCAATTTGTTGATCCCACCAGGGTACTATAGGTTTACCAGGTTGTATGTTTGCTTTAGGGATGCTTTCGGAAGCAGCATTCAATATACTGTCAGTAACGTTGCTGACGGTTTCAGATATTGAATCACCTATTCGCATTGGAGTCAAATGTTCTCGAAATTTCTCCCAATTTGCCTTTTTAACATCCACCTTTCTGCAAGTGGAACACTTGTATTTTGTACGGCACAGTTAAGTAGTATTGGGAGATGGTCAGATGAGTGATCATCTCTAAAACTTCCCAATCAAAGAGATATGATACACTTGGGCTACAAAGTGCCAAGTCTATCGCACTGTAGTTGCACGACCTAGAGTTAAGAAATGTTCCTTCGCCTTTATTCAGCACCATTAAATTTGCTTCGTTAATTATATCTTCCACTATCCTCCCTCTGGTGTCCAGTTTTTGTGAGCCCCAAAGAGGGTTATGCGAGTTAAAATCTCCTACTAAGAGAAAGGGTTTGGGAAGCTGTTCACATATGCTTTTCAATTGATTATATTCCCAGTTTTGATTGGGTAGGTATATGTTGCATATGGTCAATTTTATAGGTACTATTAGTTGAACAGCAACAACCTGAAGCTCGGATGTGATGTTGACCTCTGTAAAGGGGATATTTACATCCAGAAATATTGCCACGCCGCCCTTGGCACGGATTTGCGGCGTATCATCCTTTCTTACACATTTGAACCCACGTAGCTGAAATTTCGTGGTTGGAGAGAAATGGGTCTCTTGAAGACAGAGACAAAAGGGCTTTTTCTCCTGCATGAGTAGTTTCAGTTCTGGATAGTGATTAACACACCCATTAATATTCCACTGGACGATGGATTGCATGAGTAGAGTAGATTTATTTTATACATGCAAGGTTCAGGAGAAGATTAAGGATATTTACATATGTTATATGATGAGAGATAAATAAGCAAATAGGTGAGGGACTAAATAAATAAATATATATAAATAG